TTCACTGTTTCAAGTGCGCTAACCTCTCCATTCTCCCCATAGGCGGCGACTTTCTAGAGAAAAGAGAAACTTTTGGAAAAAAGCGGTAGGAACCTGAGAAAAATTTGGATGGCGGAGGGGATCGTAGCACAGGAATTTTGAGAGGGAACCGTATTTTCTGAAGTTTTTCCGAGCTTTCGGACTAATGATCGCATGTACCTGGTCTACCTGATCTTCGAAACATTGACCTGTGCGACTGCGTCAATGTTTCCGATTGTTGACTCTTTGCGAAATCTCAAACTCTGACGCAATGAAGGACACCGGCCTCATGTTTATCGTGTCCGCATATCCAGATCTCTGAGGCAAGTCTCAGGAGAAGAACTCACCGCTGTCTTGTTTGACATAAAAACAAATTTGATTTGCGCAAATGTTCCCGCAAAATTCTCTCACAAAGGACAAACTAACACAGGCCTTGTAACGATCTTCTCAACTTTATCTCAAGAGTGCTGAGTAAAGGGCAAAAGTCAGGCTTCAGATGGGACTTGCGCCCGCATCTTCCGCTTACCGAGCAGGTTGCGCTACGCCTCAGCCCAATAGCACTCAGCACTCTTATGATAACTTTCGGAGCTCACGCAGCGTTAAACACAGCCATCATACTGAATCAGCTATTCAACTTTTCAGGTATTAGTTTTACTCATATTCACAATATTCCTCGCTATGTCGCGTCTATACTTTGCGAATGTGAAGAAAACCACGAAAATCAGAAGATCAAATCAGAATCAAATCATTTGTGGGGGATTTCGGAAGCACGGGGAAGTATGCGCGTCGATCTGGTAAATAGGCGATTCCGGGGAATAGTTAAATCGAGAGAAGCGTGAAGGGGTTACTCGATACTCTCACCTACACGGATCTAAGGCCCACGTAGTCGCGGGAGGCTATCAGCGACGCTGGGAGACGGGCAAGAGAATCATAAAGTGCCGCTTTGTCGTGCGCGACGTTTCCTTATTCTGCGCTACCTTTCGATTAGAGCATCAGATTTCATGTAGGCAAGGACTGGTAGACACTCATGTCTATTTTTGGTCATACATAGTCTATTCTCGATCAAACCACCACCTACACCCAACCTATCGCCTAAAATCGTCGTCGCGCGACGTCGCACGCGACGCCCACTGGCGTGGCGAGTTACGATTCTCTTGCCACACTTCCAGCGACGCTAGGTCACATCGACTTTGCTCATCCGCGCTCCTTTGCAGAGTTCAACATTGTAATGTGTGAAATAGCAGTGCCAGTGCGACTTCCTCCTTTCCCTACTCCACGGACCATCTTTTACAAATTCTTCCAACTTGCTGCACCTGCTCCTGGGGAATCGATCGTCTGCATGAGAGGACCTACGTTAGACATGGGAATCTAAGTGTTCTTCCTTACCACGCGACGAACCATTGGCATCTTCAACTATAATGGGCGATTATACTTGGCGAAGTTCGATCGTGTCGAGCGATTCTTGCCTATTTGTCGCCAAGTATAAATCCACTCTTATTGCCCGTTCCCCAAGTATGAAAGCCACTTTTCATGCTCTCAATTTTTGTTTTTCGTTGTCGAGTTTCTCCCGTCGCTGCAATTATTGCTATTTTACGGATCTTGACTACTGACAGTTCCAGGTTATTCAGAATGTATTGTGCCCAATGGCTGATTCCAGTTCTACTCATTCCAAAGCATTGGTTGCATCCTTTGTTTTTGGATTGAACAGGCACTTTCATGTGGTTCTTATATTATTGCTTTCTTTTATAGAACGCAGGTACATCCAGTGGCGAGGTCAGAGCTTTTTATAAAGCCACAAAGGATTTCTTTAAATTTTAGGCCTTGTCACATAATGTTCGGCGATATTCTTCATAGCTCTGGGATTGCTTTGTTGGACTGATCCCGATACGTGCATCTTTTGGCCGAACATGTGATCGCAAGTTGAATGGAGAAGTAAGTCATTTACTCTGAGGTTTACATCAGGCCATTTTGGCAGCAGGATAGTAGCGGCAAGCCACGTGACAGTGCCTGCGAGCGTTTACTCTGGTAGTCTGCGCTCTGCTAGGTCTGAGTCTTGGAGAGCGGCTTTTTTGAATCTGATTCATAAGTTTTGCGTATAGTCGGTGTTCGCTTCAGAAGCTGGGGATCGCGTTTTCAGGGAAGGATGCTAGCGTTTCGCTAAACCAGTTCCCTATCACCGTTGCTGCCGTGGCGGGAAACTGCACAGCGGCGGAGATATTGAGCCTAAGAAACCTTTCCACGTCGATATGTTTCATTTACGCCTACAGCCGACAATTACTTCAGTTCGACTTAGAACGAATAATTCTACCCAATTTGTTTTTACTGACGACCCCCCCCTCCTCTAAGTGTCGAAAATTTTGAGGAAATTCATGGAAAATGGTGTGGGGCCGGAGGAGCGGAAGTTGGTAAGATAGTGGGAGTCACGGGGGTTTGGGATGGAGGGCGAGAAAAGGAAGTCTGGAGGGGGGGGGGCCGAGTGTGTGTTTTGGTGGAGGGCAGATTGGCGCCGCTCCAAACCCAAAAGCTCCTTAAAACGCCCCAGCTTTCGCGGCTAACAAGACTGTATATCATTTTGGAAGCGGTATACATCAGGTATTGTGTAGACCACCATCAGTGAAATTAAGGGAGATGGGTGCGTGGCCCTCAGAGTATGTTAATACTTCACGATACGATTAGACCGACCAGCGCAAGCGGTTCGTCGCCCCGATCGCGCGGTCGGAGCGACCAAATCTCTAAGGCTGATCACGCGACCGGAGCGACAAGATCGCTCGCACGCTTGGAGCGACCATATCGCGAAGTATGTGCGCACTTCTCAAAAACTAGCGTACATCATAGTTGGTCGAAACCCATCGGGGAGGTCGAGTCCAATCGCCGGTGGAAGGGATCGTACTTGGCCTCGAGAGAATTTTTTCCGATCGGTTTTTTCTTCATTTCACGCGCACTCTCCTCAACTTTCTCACATTGATCGCTGCGCGGCAAAACTGCGCGGCAAATTCTGATCGTTATTCACACGTGCCTACTCCTCCCCCACCCTAGACGGCAAGGTTTTGGTGGGAGTGTGGGGGGAAGGGTCGTACTAACAGCCACTCCAGTGCTGTACCGGGAACTATGGCAGAGCGCTTATATTTTGCGATCCGAAGGCTGGAGAGATCCAAGTGGTCGGATCGCGTACGCGCCTCGATTTTCAATCATTGTTTTTCTCTACACAGGTATGTTCGTATGTGTACAAGAACGAGCTAGCAGGCCGAATATAAAGGTCATTGTTCCATGAAAGTTGTACAAGCCTTATGTGATACGGTTGCTCTACGGGCGTTTAATACGGTAGGCATACTCGTTGTCCATGTTCAGAGTTACTTTTACGTATTTCTTTCACAGTTGCTGATTATAGCCAGCTAACACTATAGAAACTATGTGTACTTATAAATTAATTCAGTTGTTAGTTGTCCTTTACTCGCCATATAGCATGTATTCTCTCAAAGGCACATATTGAAAAGTGCTGCCATCTGCTGTTTTTGTCAGTACTATTATGATAGCTTTGTGTGCTCTCAAGTTCAGAGCTACTAGCCCTGTTCCGATTTCTTGTTCAGTTACGCCAAAATTGTGTTCCCTAAATCAAATCCCAAAGTTATATTAGAGAGGAACATGTGTCATGTGTACGATGAAAAATAAAATGTATATTCAATAAACTCTAGTATCAACAGACAACAATGAAACACTAGAGTCCTGAGTTCACTAACAACTTAGGGAAACTATGAAAATAAAGACTTGAAGAGTTCATTCCGCGTTTCGTGATTCCACTCGACCATTTCCGGCATTGCTGGATGAAAATTCACCAGTTTAGGAATTGGAAGGTATCTGATGAAATTCACCAGTTTAGGAATTGGAAGGTATCTGTAAAGCGGGAAATGATAGAGCTTTTGGCACAATAACCTCGAGAAGAGGCATTCAAAGGACTTCTTGAGCGTAACCAGAATAACCGCAGTGGATGAAGGGGACTTTTGCATGGAACTAAAACGGGAGGGGCTCCAAAGTAAGCAAGTTCAAAGTATGGTAATCTGTCCCGAAGACGGCAACCAGCTTTGCACAGGGAGTCCTCGAATGCCCAGCAGGTGATGAGCAATGACTTTTCGGAGAAAGGGGAGTAGTTCCCGAAATGTGCACTCTTTAGGAAGAAAAGTGATGACCTACTTGATTTTCTATCCTTAGAAGCTCGGTTGTCAATTTCCTTTTTTCTAGCTCTTTTACTTTTCAGCTTCTGCATTTCAATATAATGCCTAAACATACCGGTTTAAAGAAAACGTAGCAGAGAAACATCTGCACAAGCGGTGAAAAATAGCTGAATATGGTTAAAAAACTGACCTGGTCATTGCAACAGGGTCCTCAGTGTTACTTGATTTCTTGCTAATCAGTTCTTTCAAGAGAACTTGGTAAAAATCATCGTCGTCGTAAATTTCCTCGTCTTCCTCGGCCTGCAAATTACGTTTTTTCTCAATATTCTGGAAGTGACCTCAATCGTTCTGCATCTTCAGGTGCTGACCCTATCCTGCTAGAAAAATCCGGAGCAAATGAGCCATTAATCCGTTACCACCACTCTTTTTTACATCTGAGTTTTACATTCGCATCAGTCGTTTTTCAGCAGCTTCAACGGGCTGGCGGCGTGCCAAACGCAGCCGCACTGACACGCCCAACCAGTTAACATATGAAACGTGCTCACTACTCCCTTCTACACGTATCAGTGGAGACAGCTCAGTACAGGGACATGTGTTCATTACTCAAAAGTCATCAGCTAAAGTGTTCTAAGCAGCTATGTATCGAGCTCTTCGCAACGACTCTTTTCAAAAACAAAATAAATGAAATTATTACCTCAGGATTCCCTCCAATCCTCTCTATGTCAGACTTCTTGACGCGAGATCGCTTCACCAAACGCTGTTTGTCAGAACAAACCTCAAACCAGAACAATCATTTTGGATCAACATGTATAGACTACTATGAAGGAGACTATCGATGGATTCATGGGTGCTATTCCCTTAGGGGGAGAGGCGTAGTCAGTACTTGGGGTGTTACTGTTGATGTCGAAAAGGGTGCTATTGAGAAAAAATGAGGAAACAGAGGAAAAAAATGTATTTCGAGGAAAACGATCGTGATCCAAATTTCCCACTACAACACCTGGCTCTTGCTCTGGATGGTAAGACTTTGGAAACATTCACATTTAGGATTAATCAGTCATACCTTCTCAATCTGAGAGACGATGTTTTCCTTTTCAAAAGCTGAAAAATCTGTGCTGGCATTTCTTGGTCGGCGAGATGCTATCAATGTACGCCCTTCCCACTTGATTAACGTCGCATCTCTGAAACAAACAAATTACTCTGAAAAATTAGATCAAAAACTCTATTATGACTTATGTCAAATACTTGAATTTTTCTTCCTCTTCTATAATATCTCAGATAGCGTGTTTGAAAATTTAGTTCTCTTGATCTTCTTGGAATTATATCCTGAAAAAGACACATGTTTCCCTAATACAGTAAATATTGAATAGGACTTAATTTCTTGTTACGTATGAGGCTCCAACTCACATCTGAGCCTCTATAATGCGCGATTTCGAGGAATCCTGCCCCACAGCAGGTACAATCTCGTGTGCTTATGCACTGCAGATGAACCCACGTGAGACAGTTGTCACATTGGAGCCAGTCGATTGGGGCTTCCAAGGTGTCCACGGAACTTACGGGTTCTCGCTTATCACAAATAGCACACAGATCCAATTCATCGTCGTACTCTATATCTTCAGCAATCAAAGGTGGAATACCATGCTTCTTCTTTGCGATTCGCAGCTCAGTCCTCTGAAACAGGCGTTTGACTTGATTGTTCAACAGTGGCAAAGAAGTATTCACCTTTAGCATCATTTTTATCTGAGACCTGAACCCCCCTTTTTTCATCTGTTTTAGCCAAGCATGGGGGACGACCACTGACTGCGAGATCCCTGCGTAGGGGTACGCCATCTTTTAACATTTGCCTCGCCTGGAAATTATTAGCGACATGATACTTCATAAATATGGCAAGAAGTTAAGTGGACCGTACCAGAGGTCACATTTTCTATCACTGTCCTTATTGAGCGTTCCACTTGTACTAGTGCTATTTCAGCTTCGTTATCTCCTTTCATTGCCAGTTTTCCTATGTACGCAGAGAGGAAGTCGAACATCTTAAGAAAAGCGTATGCTTTCTTGCCAAACTGGGTGATTATGGGTAAATACCCTTTCAGTCCTAATTCTGATATCCATACAAAATTCTCTACGGTTGTCTGGCGCACAGCTGTTTGCTTCCACCCTGTCCACTTGGTTATTATTCAGGTCGGAGTCACTTGAGTTTTCTGCTGCCGGTGCGTCGGGGTCATCGTCGAAACAGGGTTTATCGTCGACACGGTCCCAGCAATCAGTAATAATGTCATGCTCTGCAAAATAAGATTGAGCGCGTAAGAAAGAGCGGGGTAACGTCAAACTCACCATCGTGGAGCAGTTGGAATGAGTGTGAATGCTTGCAGGAAGTTCCTGCTTTTATATTATCTGCACAAGAGCAGAATACTGCGAAAGGACAAACGCCGCAGAGCAGGCAGTGTTGCTCACAACCATTTTTACAGGGGCACGAAGTGGTTTTAATGCAGTATATTCGACCACTTGTTGACTTTAACTTCCAAGATGATTTTCCTGTTCGAACAATAGCGTAATACATTCCGTTTTCAACTGCCAATCTATGTCTTTTCAAGTTCTCTTTCTGGCGGAATTTGCCTTCCATAAGATCTCTGGTATCCTAAAGAATATGAATAGATAAAATGAAGATTATGTATTCTCTTTCAAACATGCCGAACATACCATTATTTCATGGCTTCTGACTGTGTCCGACACAATGTCCAGCATTGCTTGTAAGAGAGCGTCTAGGCGTGAATTTGAAGTTTTGTTCAAGTACGTGTATTTGAGTGACCGATGGAAACGCTCGTTGAACATATTTGTGTTCATAATACTCGAACATCTTGCATACGGGGCCCATGCTTCTTTTTTCGGAATGTAGTTCGACGAAAGATATTGTTCAAAAGTTGCAGCAGCTTCCTTGACACTTTCTTCGCCATTCGACTGCAATTCGCGAAGCCTCTTGTATAGATATGAAAGACACCGATGCCACTCGGGTTTGTTTGACACAGTAAAAAGAGAAAGCAGAGTAGCGTGTAGTTCCTTATTTCTCGGACTCTTCTGGGGAAACAACCAGGCGAACTTATCAAATACAGCGCATTGTATGTGCCATGAGCACAACAAGCGCTTTGTTCGCCGAGATGCTTCCGGAAATGTTTCAACGAATGCATTCCAGAATGTGTTACAGTTGTCTGTCATAAAGTATTCCGGACCAAAGTCTGGATAGAGGTTTTTAACAACGCTGAAGAACTTGCTGACTGCTTCTTTATCCATGTTTGCGCTTAACATGTACGCAACGGGTACTCCTCTGCCCACGCTATCGACTATCATCATGGTTAACAACTTGAGGTTATAGCGACATGGGTTGTGGGTGTCATCTAGGCTAACTCCACTGGTTCCGTATTTTTTCAGCATTGTCAGCTGCAGTGGCGTTATGACGATCAAGCAAAATCCTGAGCCATCTGGACTTGTGGGCTCTTGAAAAAGACGAAGCCCGTCCTCCGGGTTATTATTCATGAAACGTATCGCAATTGAGCGAAGATCGTTATCATGGAACTTTCCTCTTTCTAGTTCCATAGTCGCTAATACGTTTCTAACGTCCGTGGATGTGACCCAGTATAGGCGTTCAGATGGTGAGGAGTGGTCCATACGAATGGCTCTTGTGACACTAGGGACAGAGAACTTTTTCCTTGAGCAGCTGACTGATTTCTCTCCGATCGCTATTAGACAAGGGTAGTAGAGCACCACTAATAGTATGTCCAAGGTGCTTGTCACAATACTCAACTTCGATTGTCCAACAGCTTCATTTTCAACTGTCTGAAATTATTTTGGAATTTCATGCTAAATGTACAGCTTGTTCTGAACTTTCCAACTTAAAAGTCACTTTCAAAAATGCTGTGCATGCCGTCTGAATTGCTTTGGCGTGGCCTCTTCTCTTTGTGGCTTTCGCGTTCCTTTCTCTTGCGTGATCTAGAAGTTGTGCACAATACGATAGATGACTACTACACGTGACCATGGCGCTGCTTATCGACGGAGGGGGAGCATCGTGTATTATGATTGCTTCCCTGATTCCGGTTTAGATGGGTCGGCAAATCCATGAAAAGCAGAATGTCCACCCGTCAACAAACAGCGCTCGTGAACATATTATTAGCGTAGAATTTCGATACTTAGTGTAAGTTCGTCAAGGTTGGGGCTCACCGGTGGCACTTGTAATACTTTGATCTTATAGCCATTTCTTGCAGAGGTAGCGTAACATGACCATGATGTGACAGTGAGGCGCTCGTGCATCTCTTTCCAAATCTAAACAGCTTTAATCCGTCTTTCAGATTGTTTTCGCACATTCATTACTTCATGCTCACCTTAAAGTCTGCATGGTTATCGAACACTTGGGTTACAATGTCGCCTTGAAACTCATGCTCCAAACGAGCATGTTCGATGAGGCTTCTTGTATCGCGAGTATTTGCGAGGCATTGGGGGCATGCCAAACCCTGCTTCTGGCTGGTTGCATCTGCGTTTAAATTTGTAAGTGGAGCGAGAGCCTGCCTATGATTCCTTAAAAACATCGCTTCACAATGTTAGTATATTATCTCTAAGGTTATGCCACAGACCTAGCTTTATGCATTCTCACGGCATCTTTTGACGAGCCCCTGAAGTTACACAAATCGCACTGGTACTGCTTCAATGCCATTCTTGCTTCCTTTTTCTCTTTCACTAGGGCCGATGCTGTTTGGGCTCCGATATCTCCGTGATTACGACGCAAGTGTCTCACATAATTATCGAAAGCTGACATAAATTTCCCACAAATCGAACAGGACAAAGACTCCATGTTCTGAAATCGAAGCCATTGCAATAGTCAGCAATAATGCACAAGTGATAATTTAAGTATCGATAAATCTAACGAAGACTGTAGAGCTTTGTGAGCGCCGACCGATACCTATACTTTCCTTTTCGCACAAAACGCTCAACACGCTCAGAATGCATAAAACACTGGATCGACAACTACACTATGTTTTTCGGCTTAAACGTTCGGAGCGCCCAGAAAATCACGAATGCAGCCTGTCTACAGGAAATTGCAAGTTTCCGTCAATTTCCACAAATCCCGTCCAACAGAACAGCGGTACTACAACTAGCTCTGCTCTTCATACATATGGAAAGCTATCCGCTCAAACAGTAGCCGCTGTTTTCTTTTTCAATGAAGACATCTCGTCCTTCTCAAACGATCCGAACAGAAAAAAAACTCTCTCTGTCCCACATTAGGGAGAAAAGATGTGAAAAAAATCATCAGCACTGCCTTTTATTGCGACTTCCACTTTTATGCGATGGCAAACACATTCAGACCACGCTCATATTTTGATGCCTCACAACAAACCGATGGCGATGATAACGCAAAAACGAAGGTGAAGTCTAGAGCGTAAAAAATTGCTCACTCCCTTGATCAGACAAGCCGGGGGTGAGCTGGCATTCAAGCTAAACACCATTGTTGGCTCGATAGACCCATGAGTTTCATACATTCTCTCTCCCTCGACTATGGTGATGTGGCGAAGCATTTTCTTCCAAGTAATGACTCACCCGTGTTCTGCTTCGCCTTGGTGACTCAGACCTCCTTCTGGCTTTCGATTTTGGAGAAGGGCTGCGTGACTGTAATATGTTACTTATAAACGAACAAAGTAAAAATGAGCATGGGGCTGGGATACCTCAGCGAAATAATAGTGGAGCCGGTCTGCGGAAAAGTCTTGGAGGTTCAACATATTGCAGGGGAGGGAAGTCTAACTTCGGTCGAATCTTTGCAATCCGGGCAATTAGCAAACAGGAAAAACAGATGCTTTGAAGTAACACTCAAGAACATAGATGGTTCCTTTTACCCCTTCCTCAGACGGCACCGTGCTACTTCGTCGACCAAAGTCGGGTGAGCAAATCGATTGGAGGCAAGACACTTAGGCGCTTAGAAATGGGGTGGGCGGGAATACTTGTTAAGGCGGTGATAGACTCAAACGTGAGTAAAAAAACTTACAGAGACGCTTTCAGGATAGAAGCCAAGCGTAAAGCACGAACCAAAAGCGAAGAAAAGGCGTACTTCTGCGAGCTTTCATTTGTTAGTATCGAACGCTATCAACAGTTCCTTCCCATTATCAATCATTTCACCATACGGAATGGAAAGAGTTGGTGGGAACAGCCACAGCATTGAGTGCCATTAGTAATGACCGCTGGCTGAAGCATGGGGAGTGGGCGGAGCACTTGCCTTTGTCGCGATTGGATGGCATCCTTACCACGTGTTTTTGAGCCGTGACAGTGGTACACTGTTTTCTGCTCACGGACAAAACTCCCTTGTCGAAGGAGGGTGTCTGCACATTAAATAAATGTGGACCGTGCCTTCGTGTATATATCACTGGTGGTGAGATGAAGGTTGGTTCGATAAAATCCAGAGAGGCAGCTAACTCGAGTCCACCAAAGTTTTTGAATAAGGAAAGCTATTTAACTTTCAGCTCAGGTATTGTAAAGTGCAAGCGCAGAATAAATAGCAAGTGCTTCCTGCTGACAGACCATAATGGTGGACTAAAGCCGTCGTCGTTGATCAATCCTTTTTCCCCTCATGATCAATCAAGCCCACAATACTACTTCTGCCTAGGTGACGGCACAATGAATACGATATTGCCTATACACTGAGTTGTCAACCAAGTCGTTGTTTCATTCCTCCCGAGTGTATCCGGTACCAGTTCACGGTAGGAGGCATGATTGGGCTGAGCCGGAGTTCGGG